CACCATCCTCATAGCCCTCTGCTGGACTCTCTCCAGTAGCTCTTCATCTTTCTTGAACTGGGGAGCCCATATACTGTTTGCTTTCCCTGGCAGCAGTAATTGGCACATAAGCACGGAGCAGTGCCGTAGTATGTAGGTAACTCCCGGCCTTGTCCTATCGTCTGCTTGTACGAAACGTGTCCTGACTCCTGTAGGCAACAGAGTTAGAAGGGAAGAAATTTAACCCTGGCCTGGGACAGCCTAACAGCTTATGCTGTTCTGCAAAGGGGTCAGGGTGCTGTTCAGCTGAAGTTCTCTGAACATGGAGGTGTTGGGATCATGGTGCTGTTCCGTGGCTGGCAGGCCGGGGTGGGAGCTGTTCTGTGTCAGGCTGCAGGTGCTTCTGCCTTAACAGCAAAGTACACTGCTTTGAATGGCACAGCAGCTTCCTGGTACTACGCTGACTGCCCCTGTGGCACAAAGAGGCCTCGTGGGATTCTTGACACGTTTATCAGAGTAATAACATAACTGTGAAAAGCCCTCATGTTGATTGAGGAAACTTCAGAATGTAACAGGTTTGCCAAAACCTTACCCAATTGGCACAACTGGTAACGCTTGTCTCACGGTGACATCCAGCTCCTGCCCCCAGCTTTGCCGAAGCGAGCTCTGGCCAAGCCCTGAACTCGGATGAGTAAGGACGGTTGCGGTTTCCCAGGGTCCTGCTCGGTGAGGTGGGGGCTGGGGCCCGAGGCCCTCCTGTCCCAGGTGTAGCAAAAGCACCTCGTGTTCAGCCAAAGGTGGCAGAGAGCCCTTCTTCTCTCCTTCCAGTCACAGCAGCTGTAATCTTCAACCCAGCGCTTCCCGCTGCTTGTACAACACTCACCCTAGGAAAGGGAACTGAAAGTAAACGCACAAAGTGCTGCTGAAGCCAGAAATGGGAGGGGAGAGACAGCCTTCAGCCTCCTCCCTCATCAGTGCTGCCAGACCTGTGCGACTGCCAGGAGGGAGTCTGGCTGACGGAGGGGGAGCGCGCTCTCACTGCACGGGCTGCGTCTTGGGGCTGTTCCAGTAACACAAAAGCAACTGCTCAGGTAAGGCTCTGTCTTGCCTAGCAGCTCCTTGACAAGGCAGGACAACGCAGCTGACCGACCAGGTGAAGGGTTGCGACAGAAGCAGCTTCTCAAAGCTTAATTTTAAGGAGAAATTAAATTCTACTCCAGCTCATTGAGCCCCTCTGCTGTTTCTCCCCACCTCCTTCCAGCAGCACAAGCAAGTTATAGTGCACAGTCAACATCAACAGTTCACATTTTGGCTTGGCATAATGTATATAAATAAATTATATTAATTTAATCAAATGAAAAACACTTTAAATAAATGAAATGCTAAAGAGCGACACCTCCTGTCCAGTTACTTCCCAGCACGAATACCGAGCGGCTTGGGGTTTTCTTCTCCCCCGCGTTCGCTGG